AAACTGAAATCTAATTAATTTTTGCATATGCAGCTAAACGTCTACTGTATATGTCAAATACGACTGATTGATGGTGCATAAGAATAAGTGCAAAATATTGGAAAGTATTTTGCAACAATTAGATTTCACCACAGACAGAACAGGTTCTTATAATGCTGTTTCACAGAACATCATTTTTCGCCAAGCTAGGCCAGCTCCAAAGCCACCGGTAATATCCATATTTCCCTCTTTTATCCCTCCGAGGCCAGGCATGGATTACGATCAGTGATTTACAATGGCAGAGGGGTCCAAGTCATTTTAGTGTTTCAGCACGTGCCAAAGAAAAAACAGCTGAAAGAATTAGCTGAAAAAATTAGTTTAGTCTGGCAACACACTACCTTCAGTTCCTTTCACAGATGATATCTTTTGATTCCTGATTTTCCTCAGATAAGATGGTCCATTACTGTTACAAAAGCACGCTTCTCCCAGTATTCAGTGTTTCCCAGATTAGTAGAATAAATAGCCTGTAAAGTCACCCATAATGTAAACATCAAGATGATGCTCTAGCATTTTTTCCTCCTCCGTTTACTGAATGTCTAAGTCTAGTAACATGAATCAACAATTGTTCCCAAAATAAAAAATAATCGCTGACCAGCGGCTGCCCACTTTGTTTATCAGTGACTCATGATGTTCTGTGTGTGACTAGTAGCTTCATAGGCCTCCCACTAACTCTTTCCACTTTTTGTCTCAAGCTGTTGTAAATTTCTTTCCCCTAAATCATGACTTACACAAGCTTTTTCCCCCTGGACATGTTTTTTACTGATAGTGGTAGTAGAAGTGAAGAATGATGCGTTCAAGCAAGGCCTGTTTGCCACAAGAAAAAAAAAAGAAAAAAAGAAAGGTGTTACTACACAGCTTGTCTTTCATACACACCTCTTCCTTAATGAGATAAACAGATATTCTGCAGTTAAAAACCACAGCTGAAGGGAACAAGTGGAAACAGCGTTTGATGACTTATGATTACGATAGTCATTTTCAGGAGAAAGTTTAAACCTGTCAGTACATCAACACGGATTCGCTGCATCCAATAAAGTGCGCATCGCCAGATGTTGTTCCAAATCTGCGTGCTGTTTCTATGCAGTCATAGACATATTGACTGACAGTATTAAAATGGAAAAAACCAGCACTGGCTTCATTTGCTTAGAGTGAATAAATGAAAAAGTCAAACTTTTAATAGACCACAAAATTGCCCAAATGTACATTCCAGATGTTAGGATTTAGAAAAAATAATAATATAATTCTCTCATTTTCTATTATTTCAGCATAATCATTTTTAAATGGCATTTGCGCTTGTCACGAAGATAACGCACATTACAATTGTACAATACTCATTCACGATATAAAACAGCTGCAATCCTCACCACTAACACTGATCAAGCTTTGTTTTATTTCATTCCTTAAGCACTTCATTGCTCAAGCACTGGATGAACTCAATTTGACATGCACACACAACAAGTGGTATAAACAAGTGTTGAGATCAACAGAATCCTTGAAAACACAGTAAATCCTCTCTGACAGCTGTAAGCCCATGTTTGGTGGGTATTTATTCTTGTTATAATACCTGGTGATTGTCTCTCATGTAGCTGCGTCTAACCTTAAGCCTGCAGCGCAGTAATGTTGACCTGATCTTTTTCACCTGCCTGCTCAGACGCATGCCATTACTCATCACCTCTCCAATGTATATGCAGTTTAAGGTGGAGCTCTTGCTGTTGTTTTTGAGATTGTATTTGTTGCCATAGAGTTTTTTTTCCTTGGTATCCTGACTGTCTGCGTCATTTCATTTTTCTCTTGCTTATTTGGACTGCCAGTCTGTTGGCAACAGCCAGGGCTGGAGGCATTATGTTTCCGGGTTGTCCATATATATGTCTGTCTGTTCTACTCTTGTGAATGCGATATCTCAGTAATGGTTGAGGGAATTCCCTCAAATTTGACACAAACGTTCACTTGGACTTAAGAATGAACTGAATAGATTTTCGTGGTTATGGGTCAAGGGTCAAAGGTCAAGGTCATGTGACCTCACAAAATACGGTTTTGGCCTTGTGAATGCAATATCTCAGGAACTCCTTTCTGTCTGTAAATTATATGAAGTTATATGAAGTTACTACCAGCTGCTGCTTAGCTTAGTTTAGCTCCATGCAAACAACAGATATAATGAGCCATAGAGGTGCTGGTAGGCAGCTCCACCTACCAACCCCTCTAAAGCTCACTAATCAATAAGTTACATTTGTTGCTTTCAGGTTTCGTACTAAGCTAAGCTAACAGGTTGCAAATAAGTGTATTTTGAACTATTCCTTTAGGTCCTGATGTGTACACAAAGCTAATCCTTTATGCACGGAACTTTCCTTTCTGCAGGTGAGGTGTATTGATCTGTCTGCGTCACCATGGTAGCTATTGTTACTCATGCTAACCATATTATAAACAAACTGAGGCTTGTTTCAGTGCTCAAATAAACACAACTCTATGGAGAGGGTTTCTTGATAAAAACTGAACATAAAGCCTTTCATGAACTGGGCATGTAATCGTATGAAAATGTCAAAGATTATGACAGTAATGATACGGGAGCATAGACTATGAACTAATGTGCAGAAACAGAATATAAAGTAAGTTGAATATTTTCATTTGGAAGAAAAGAGCAGAGAAATTCAAATGAACTCCCCCACCCTCTGATGTTTCTATGTAAGCTCCCAGAGTTGGAAAAAAAAAACTCTATAGGGAATACACTCCGAGTAAACACTTCCTTTCTATGGGCCTGTTTCCGCTGTAGTTCTGGCTCAGTGTAGCGCGAGCCTGGCAAGTCTTGTCACCTCCAACACAGTCTTGTCAGTTACACCTCCCACACTGTGCGCTCACAGTCACGCCCACAGAGCTGTTCCCAGTAACACCTGCCTATGATATCTCCACAATTGATTTGCGGTGAAACCAGGGACTCTCATTCCAACGTCACCCCATTTCACAGATTTGTAGTAACTTTGCTATTGAATGTCAGTTTGAGTAGTGCAGCGTTATTACTGCCTTATCTCTTCCTGTAGGCTTATGTTTCACCGAGGTGAGCAGGACATGTTGTAAATCCTACATGTCACAGAAACGCCAGAGGCCATAAAAATCCTGTGAGTTCCTGTGGTATGTTTGAGGTATGTATGTGGTATGTACTATATCATTTGTCCATATATCTAACCTATTTTTAGACACCCCTCTATTTTAGAGTCATCACAGCATGAAGGCGCCTCTCTGCTCCGCTGTTTGTCCAGAAGACTTTCATCACTGTCACACACTCATTCCCTCTCCTCAACTGTCCTCTGAATCCACAAACTCTGCATGCTGGCAAGAGGCATGAGTCAAACAGTTACACATTTGAAAAAGGCCAAATGCTCCTCTGCTTCTCAGGAGTGATGTGAAACAAATCTCTTTCAAGACGGTTCTGTCTTTACTTGTGGTGGGGGTGTGGGAAAGAAGAGAGAGAGAGAGAGAGAGAGAGGAAAGAGGTCAGAGGTTAAATGCTCAGCCATAAACCTTAACATTCATCTCAGTTGTGATGTCATGATTTGGGAAGAATTTAGTCAAAATACTTGAGCAAATAATCTTACATCTCTTCAAAATGCCATTAAATACACTCCTCATCATCACCTGGTACAGGTAACCACATCCCCTCTCCCTGCTCCATTTTATTCTACTTTATTCTTCTACTCCACTACTCTACTGAACTTTTCTTTCTTCTTTTCTACCCCATTAATCTTGCGACCCTTTTGACGGGGCCCGACCCCTAGGGTTGAGAACCGCTGGACTAAACTTCCCAACTGTATATAAAATATTTCTAACCATCTCCAGCTCAGCCAGTTACAACAGTAAAATGCTGCACACTGATACACCAACAATCTAATGATGCAAAATATTAAATCATATCATGTATCAGATTATTATATCTGTCAGTTTTCTGCAGAGAAGGCACTTTTTACTTTTTGTATATTAAAAAGATTTTGTTGATAATACTTTACTTTTGAATAAGCGGGGTTTAGGATGCAGGACTTTCACCTCTAAGTTTTAGACTGTTACTGATACTTTGACTTAAGAAGAGGATTTGAGCACTTCTTCCACTGTTGGATCGTTGGAGTAAAATCTGTCCAAACAACAATAACTAGGAAGGAAAGTTTAAATCCACCATTTAATACACCTTATTCATGTATTATCTTCATTCATCCATTATCTTCTCCAAGCTACCTTTCAAGCTTAAATTGGACTTTCATGCATTCCTTTAAATACGTTTTTGCTTGTTTTTACACTTTATCTCGACAAAGAAACCCGCAGACAAGTATCCTCCTATTGCTCTTACTGTCCTGGGCCAGTTCACACTTACATTCATTACTCAATGAGTCCCCTGGCGGCCAGAGTTGTAACAGCAAAATGAAAAGTTCACCATAAACCAGTGAGTCTTCTGCTGTATGTCGTGAATATAAGATTGAATTAATACCTGACTGTAGGTTATGGAATATGATTTAATGTTTTATATGGCTTTTGAATCCGCCCATAACTGGTTTTGTACAATCAGTCTACTGAAGTAATTGACCTTCTTATTTTTGGATTATATTAAAAAAAAAAAAAAAGAAAAAGAAAAGAAAAGAAAAAGAAATCTATATATTTTCTAGAAGTAGACAATAAAGTAAAATTAAGACGATTTGACGAATAATTAAGCTTTTATTTGACCGGAAACGACCACATCTTGGCTATGGAGCGTGTATGAAATATTTGTCCGGTGATGGAAATTCAGCTCAGGAATGCATTTTTCCCCTCTCTCTCTGTGTGTGTGTGCGTCTCGGATATTACTGTGACTGGATGTGAGGTAAGAAAGCAAGTCCGTCCCTCTCTCCTGCTGCCATCCCATTGGTCCAGATGGGACCTCAGGAATGTCCTTAAACTGTTTAAATAGCTCTTGTGTTGGTGGGACAAGTCAGAAGAATAAGTGAAAGCATCGGAATAAATCCCGGACAGGAGCTCAGAGAGACTTTGCAACTCCACTCTAATGATCTTCTACAAGAGCTAAAGGAAGAGAAACGGGATAAATAATCTGACAAGCAAGGACTTTCCTTACTCTTTTTCTATCTGTTTTCGCAGGACCTTTTTTTTTCTTCTTTTTTAAAGGTTTGTAGACTTCTTTTATTATTATTGTTATTATTATTAACTGTTATTTATTGATGCTCAGATGCAGCCTTGATGTTTAACTCTGTTACTCTGGTTGCAATAGGAATCGTTTGAGATTTCAAGATGATGCTGTGTGGCATCTTTTTGCTGGTGATGCTTTGGAGTTGTGAAGGCGCAAGACTGGCAGGTGAGAATGGAAAATGTCTTTATATTAGTTTCCTTCTTTTTTTTCAACCTGTTAAAACTGTCTAAGTTCTCCCATGGAGTAAGTAATAATTCCTATAGGGATTTTAAGTGACTGTAGGTTTCAAGCTGTAGTAGTCGCATTGCAGATCACTATTATATTTCAATAATATTCTTATAAAAGAATTATTTTTGAAACGTTTTGCAGTTACTTTGATAGTTCTGGCTGATGTTTTATAGTTTCTTTGTTTTCCTGCATCTTCATGGACACTGTCATTATGAGAGAGAAAAAAATGACCGGTATCTATTCTTTCCTTTGACCGCAGAGAGTCGAGATGATAACAGTGTGTATGACTTATTTGATCTGGCCCGAGTCAACAAGAGACACCACGGAGTGAGTTTGGTGAAAGGCGCCGATCCCTACAGCCCCGCATACAAAGTCCTGAACGCAGACCTGATCCCCCCCGTCCCCGACAGCTCCTTCAGGGACCTCCTCGACTCCATCCAGACTGAGAGGGGCTTCCTCCTCCTGGTCAACCTGAAGCAGTTCAAGAAAACCAGAGGCAGCCTTTTGACCATCGAGAAGACTGACGGATCCGGACCCGTCTTCGAGATCATTTCCAACGGCAAGAATAACACCCTGGATGTGGTCTACTCCACCATGTACCAGCAGCAGAAAGTGTCCATCGAGGACGCGGACTTGGCCACTGGACACTGGAAGAACATCACGCTGTTCGTTCAGGATGACCGCGCGCAGCTTTTTGTCGGCTGTGAGGAGATCAACGTGTCAGAGCTGGACGTGCCCATCTACAAAGTGCTGTCCCAGGAGGTGGCAGACAGCGCCAGGCTCAGGATCGGAAAGGGATCTGTGAAGGACAGATTTATGGTAAGATCTATCGACTGAGATGCCAAAGATGATGACAAACAATATTTAGTGCACCATATTTTGTGCACACATAATGATTGATGTGAGAAAATATAAGTTTAATAGTTTGAAGTATCTCTAATTTGAATTTATCTTTCTTCAGGGAGTCCTCCAGAATGTGCGCTTTGTCTTTGGGACCACTCTTGATGCTATACTGAGAAATAAGGGATGCCAGAGCGGAGGTAAGTTTGAAAAATAGAATAAAATGTATCTGTTGCCAGTAACTGACAGGATCTTACTCAGGTGCAAAATCAGGAAGCGTGTATGAGGATGCCACATTGTCTTCATTTGTCTTCTCTCCTCTTTTCCCCCTGCAGCTACCTTAACTGATGTCATGACCTTGGACAACCCTGTCAACGGCTCCAGCCCTGCCATTAGGACTGATTACACCGGCCACAAAGCCAAAGGTGAGACCTCTCCTCCCAAAAGAGACAAGTTTGTGTCTCTGTTCTACTGCTCAGTTGTAAAACTTTAAGAGTTGAGGTAATTTATTGGATTCTTCTCTCCTGTATTCAGATCTGCAGTCTGTCTGTGGCTTCTCTTGTGAGGACATCGCCAGCATGTTTAAGGAGCTCAAGGGACTCGGTGTGATTGTTAAAAACCTGAAGAATGACCTCGAGAAAGTGGTAAGCTCTGATGGCCATCAGGTCCCCCCACCCCTCATTCCAGTTAACGCATTCCCAGTGCGTAGCCACTTGTCGCTGTAATGGCAGTCCCCGGCCAAGTTCTTAATGAGACCCATGTGAATACACAAATGTGTTTGGCTGCTGGTTGCATTTGCACTGCTTCACTAGAGTCAAGCAATGTCTTAATCACGGTGTCAGTCGCTGATTCATTTGTATTGGAACTTTGGCAAAGTGAAAGTTTTCCATCCTCCATCCTAAGCAACCCCCTTCTCTCCCTCTCTTTTTCCCCCCAGTCTGAGGCGAGCACAATCATGATACAGAACCTCAACAGCGGAGCTTGCTACCACAACGGCATCCAGTACAAGGACCAAGATGAATGGACCATGGACAGCTGCACTGAGTGCACCTGCCAGGTAAGCATCACCATACCTGCTGGAATACAACCTTTAGACAAGCCAGTAAGCAGCTGAAGGTAGACATAATTGTGTTTCCTGTATTCCTGAAGTCATAATAGTGTTTCTGTCAGCACCTCCCTTTATAACTGAGAGCCATCAACACTTCTTCTCTACTATCAACAAAGCAGCATGAGGAATTTTCCCCTCTAGCAACATTTAGTGAAGGGTGCTCATGTACTGTGTAATTGGTTAGGTGTTAGTGAGGATTATGTTTTCTATCAACACAGCAGGACTGTCATATCCCTGATAAAGATCACTCAGCTCGCAATTAGGTTTGGAACAGTACCAGCATAGCCAGTTTTTTTTCCTCTAGCAAGTCCAGTTAGCCATTCATTTAACTCATTATTCTTGTACTAATTTGACTGCTCTCTCCTCCAGAAATCTGTCACTTTGTGTCGCAAAATCTCCTGCCCTCTGATCCCATGCGCTAACGCCACCGTGCCCGATGGAGAGTGCTGCCCTCGCTGTGGAACACGTAAGTTTAATTTTCATAACTTCTATGATCGTCTTAATTTCTTTCTTGATATCTTTCCCTGGAAGTAACGATCCTCAAACTTCATATCTTCCCCCCCTACAGCGAGTGACTATGCCGAGGATGGATGGTCTCCCTGGTCTGAATGGACCCACTGTTCAGTGACTTGTGGCCGTGGCATCCAGCAGCGCGGACGCTCCTGTGACCGCATCAACAGCAACTGTGAGGGCACCTCTGTCCAGACCCGTGACTGCTACCCCCAGGAATGTGACAAACGCTGTAAGTTACTCAGTATTCTCGACACGACCATTGTGATGGTAAATATTCTCAGTTTGATCGTATGAATTAATTGGGTTTGTGTTGCTCACAGTCAAACAGGATGGTGGCTGGAGTCACTGGTCTCCCTGGTCATCGTGCTCTGTGACCTGTGGTGAGGGGGTCATCACCCGGATCCGCCTCTGCAACTCCCCCACACCCCAGATGGGTGGCAAGGACTGCCAGGGAGAAGGACGTCAAACTGAAATCTGCCAGAAGTCACCTTGTCCTAGTAAGCTCAATTTCAGCACCAAAGTATATGTGATGGCGTGTATGAATTCAGGGCAATATAATGATTTTTTTAAATGTACCCTTTAGTCAATGGAGGCTGGGGACCTTGGTCACCATGGGACACCTGCACTGTTACCTGTGGTGGAGGAATCCAGACCCGCAAACGTCTCTGCTCTGACCCCGTTCCCAAATACGGTGGAAAGGATTGCGTTGGTGATGCCACTATGTCTCATGTGTGCAACAAACAAGAATGTCCTGTTGGTAAGTATTTACACTTTAAAAAATATCAAAAAACTAAGGCATCACTCACAACAGATCACCCTATTTAAGTACGAATTCTTTCTCTCTACAGATGGTTGTCTGTCCAACCCATGCTTCCCTGGCGCTAAGTGCATCAGCTTCCCTGATGGCTCTTTCAGGTGTGGCAAGTGTCCGCTTGGCTATCGTGGAAATGGCGTCATCTGCAAAGACATTGATGAGTGTAAAGAGGTTCCTGATGCCTGCCACACTCATAACGCAGTCCATCGCTGTGAGAACACTCAGCCTGGTTACAACTGTCTGCCTTGCCCTGCACGTTTCTCCGGTCCTCAGCCCTTCGGAAGAGGAGTGGAACAGGCAACTGCTAAAAAACAGGTTTGAGTTATTACTTTCTCACTGTGTTTGTGGCCAGTAGGCTAGCTGCTTGCTTTTTTTTCCTAACCCTCTGTCATTTTCTTTAGGTTTGCACACCCCGCAACCCTTGCCAGGATGGTAGCCACAACTGCAATAAAAATGCAAACTGCATCTACTTAGGCGTCTACTCTGAGTCCATGTTCCGCTGCGAGTGCAGGCCAGGATATGCCGGTAATGGCCGTATCTGTGGAGAGGACACTGACCTGGATGGATGGCCCAACACTGACCTGCTGTGTGTGGAGAATGCTACCTACCACTGCAAGAAGGTAGCCAGACCCCACGTGGAGAGAAATACAAAAGGCCATTATTACCCATCTGCTCTCCATTACTGTGATGATTGCCTCCTTAACCACTCTTTTGTTCCTTCATAGGATAACTGTCCCAACCTTCCCAACTCTGGTCAGGAAGATCATGACAAAGATGGCCTGGGTGATGAATGTGACCATGATGATGACAATGATGGGATCCCCGATGATAGGGTGAGTCATTACAGCAGTTTTATTTAGCCCCAAACTGTGCCTTCCTCAGAGACCAGACATAGCAATCAGCTGTAGCCCTCCTTCCTCTGGGCAGGAGGAATGTGAAGTCTCCATGTTTGTGTGCTTTCAACAGAGAGCTAAAGTGAAAAACCAGTGGCATAGGAATAGTGTAATATAATTTCAGCATAAAGCCAGAATTGAGGAGGTGGCTTGTTGCCCATAATTCTTAGTGTGGATTTGGAAAGTTGGGCAAGAAAAATGCTGTGGTAAAAATTACCAGCTCTCATGCAGCGGAATTTCACATTCCAGCAGAAGCAAGGAAAAAAAAAAGCCTTTGAAAGAAAAGTTTTGTTCCTATACGTATCATTTATTTGAGTCGTGACCCATTTTAGTAACTGAATTGATATTTCTCTGCCAATTCAGGACAACTGTCCAAGAGAATACAACCCTGCCCAGTACGACGCAGACAGGGATGATATTGGCGACCGCTGTGACAACTGTGTGTTTGAGGCTAACACCGACCAAACCGACACTGACAACAATGGAGAGGGTGATGCCTGTGCTGTTGACATCGATGGCGATGGTAAGAGATCTCTCCAAATTTTATGCAAGAAGTCTTGCCTTTACTTATCTTTAAAAGGCATTGACACAGACAGTCCCTAAAGGCTAAGATGAGTATGTTTTCACTCAACAGGCATTCTGAATGAGAACGACAACTGCCCTTATGTTTACAATGTGGACCAGAGAGATACTGATAGAGATGGCGTGGGAGACCACTGTGACAACTGCCCTCTGGAGCACAACCCTGATCAGGTAACGTCAGATCTCACCTTTCGCCTTTCCATTACAGCTACTCTGACTGACGTAGTTTAATCTGTCATATAACTATGTAGAAGTTTCTGTGGGACACTGTATCAAGACCACAAACTGCTTTAATGTAAGACAGGAATGTGACAGCTTGAAGGAGAAACAATGCAAAGCTGCCTGTCCTCCTCTCTATTCATCCGCCTTTGGAAGAAATATGAATGTGTAATTCTGCTGAGGTGTAGGGACACTGGACACTTGTCTGAAGGGACATTGCTTGCATACCTGAAAACAAGGGGCTACATTTAAATCACGTCCAGAGTAGCACCTCTCATATCGAGGCTGGTGAAAAACAGTGAAGTGAGTTATTTGAAGTGAGGACAAGAGTCTTACAGTGTGAGAGCCGGTCTTTGGGAAAATCTCATCATAAAGGAATTCTGTTCTCTTGCAGATCGACTCTGACTCAGATCTCGTAGGAGACAAGTGCGACAACAACCAGGACATTGACGAGGACGGTCACCAGAACAACTTGGACAACTGTCCCTACATCCCCAACGCCAACCAGGCAGACCATGACAAAGATGGCAAGGGTGACGCCTGCGACCACGACGATGACAATGACGGCATTCCCGATGAAAAAGACAACTGTCGACTGGCTTATAACCCTGATCAAAAGGACTCTGATGGTGAGTCAGTTTTTCAGTGTGTCAAATGGGGTATAAATCATTGGACAAAATTTGTGTTTGTCTTTTAGAGAGTAGCTTCCTGTCTGTAATCACAATCTAAATATCTATATTTTTCTCTCAGGTGATGGCCGCGGTGACCTGTGCCAATACGATTTTGACCAAGACAATGTTTTGGACATCCATGACGTGTGTCCAGAGAACTTTGACATCAGCGAAACAGACTTCCGCAGATTCCAGATGGTTCCTCTGGACCCCAAGGGCACCTCTCAGATTGACCCCAACTGGGTGGTCCGGCATCAGGGCAAAGAGTTGGTGCAGACAGTCAACTGTGATCCCGGCATTGCTGTTGGTACGTAATAACCAGACAGTCATCTCACTACAAATACAAACACACACACAAAGTAGTATGTCAGCCGGTTGTGAACCATGTTTTCTCTTACTTTAGGGTTCGATGAGTTCAGTGCTGTGGATTTCAGTGGAACATTCTTCATCAACACGGACAGAGATGACGATTACGCCGGGTTCGTGTTTGGCTACCAGTCCAGCTCGCGCTTCTACACAGTCATGTGGAAACAGATCACACAGACCTACTGGTCCCACACACCCACAAGAGCTCAAGGCTACTCTGGCCTGTCAATCAAAGTGGTCAACTCCACCACCGGCCCCGGTGAGCATCTGAGGAACGCCCTGTGGCACACCGGAGACACCCCAGGACAGGTGAGCACAGATTCAGCGGCTTAGAGTTTGAGATGTAAGATACAAGTTAACACAATGTTTGACTGATTCTAATTTTAACCTTTACAATTCTTCCTTTCTAGGTGCGCACTCTGTGGCACGACCCTAAGAACATTGGCTGGAAGGACTTCACTGCCTACAGGTGGCACCTGACCCACAGACCCAAGACTGGACTTATTAGGTGAGCTGAAATCCTCAGAAGCATCTCATCTCAGAAGCTCTGTCACTCAATTACAAAAATGCACAGTGTATTTTCAAAATAGCAATGAGCTCATGTTTTATCTTTTCTTTTGCAGAGTGGTCATGTACGAAGGCAAGAGAATGATGGCCGATTCTGGAAACATCTTTGACAAGACGTACGCTGGTGGGCGACTAGGCTTGTATGTCTTCTCTCAGGAGATGGTTTACTTCTCAGACCTCAAATATGAATGCAGAGGTAAGCATATGAGAAATGTTTGACATTTTAAAAAAAAACACACTTTCATCACCTTAGATTTAGTTTGTAACATATTTTCTTTCCTTAATTTCTTTCAGATGATAAATAAAATGGTCCACAGAGCCTTCTGGAAGAAGTACCAGTCTGCTGGTATGAATATATAATATGAGACCTGGATCGATATCTTTGACTTTTTCCTTTGAGAAATGCACATTGGCGGAATGACGGGCAAGTGAGATAACGTGAGGTAAACTGACCTCAGGACTTAAAGCCAAATTGAAAGTTCAATGATGATTCTGCACCACTGCACCAAACTCAAATTGTGAGCGCAGCTCTGCTCAGAAGACATTGGCCCTCTCATCCTTGTTGCTCTGATCTGCATTGAAAGAGGGCCACATCTTATTGCTTTGCACACCTGAACTGTTGTCAGTTGGCGGTATTCCTCTGAGGATGAGGGACCAAAGAGTGTTTCATGTTTGGTTTTTTTTGGGGGGGGGGTTTTGAGCATTAATATACATCTGCTGTGGACTCAAAGATGCTTGTTTCAGTATGAAGAAAGCAGTAGGAGAACTTTCTTAGGCAGGGGTAAATATGCCCCTTGAAGGAACTGTTGAGGGACCACGGACAGTATGGACTGACTGTTACTATCAAAGAGCGTGAATGTTGTTTGTGTGTTTGTGCATGTGTTCCACCTAACAAGCATAGTTATGAAGACAACCAAGTCAAAATTGATTTTAAAATTCTTTTGATACACCGTCACCCCACATTCTGGCAGACCTGTATATATAAGGTCTTGTATTCAGCTGAGGCTTAGGGCTGGCCTAAAATATTCGTCTTCTCAGGAAAGAGCACTAGAAGAAACAAGGAGAGCACAAAATTCAGGACAGCACAGGGCCACAAAGCAGACACGCTGCACACTGCTTTGGAACAGTAATTATTAGCAAATATTATGTTAATATCTCTAATCTTTGCTGAAAGTGTCAAGGGACGTAAACAGCGAGGGCCAGTCTATATCCTGTCATTAGTTAACCATTGTTACGTACGGCTGTTTGTATTTACTTATTCATCATAGAGGCTTTAATTCTCGCTCATCTTTGCATCTTACTATCTTAAAATTTTGCAAGCAACCTATTCCAATTAACTGAAACCACAGTTATAGCATTACATCTGACCAAAACAGTGAAAAAGTGAAAGATAGGCATCACTTCCAGTATCTCCAAATATTCTGCTTCTGCACAGTGTGCATGCATGACTGGTGTGCCTGAGCTTGTGTGTACATTTCTGACGAGGGAAAATCAAAGGAAACCCTTTATGTACAAATATTACCTCATTAATTCTTTTTGTATTGAGGCCAGCAATACACAAGAATCACTTTTCTTAGCAACAGAGTATAAATTGGTTGGCTTCTTTTTTTTTAAAGCAAGACTTTAGTATCATTTATATGCTGTATATAAGATATTTTTGTAGCAAAAGAAGCCCAAACAGGAACGTAAAGGATTAGAGAAATGTTGTCTTGACTATGTTGTGCTATATGTATTTCCTGTGCATTTTTGGATAAATTATTATGTTTGTTTTATGTTGAGGTTATTTCATTTGTGTAGATATATGCTATTTAAATAATTTATCTAGAGGCGTAGCCTCATATTGGAAGCGTTTCTGTCTGTATAAACTTATTTGCACACTGACATGAGGATGTCTTTGTTATTTTGGTTTTTGTATGTGTCTTTTTTTAATTATTAGTGAAGCTTTTCAATAAACTTTGTACTATAGTTTCTACCCAAAGTGCTGTTTATACTCCTACCTGTTATTTTGTAATGTCAAGTGAACAATAAACACTTCAGGAAAAAAGTATCTTGGTTGATTGTTGTCTTTTTGGGCAAACAAGGATAAATAGTCAAGTGGATTGTTCAAGACCTAAGCCTCTTCCTCAGTGATTTTTGGACCTCATATAGACTTTTACTGAGGTCTTCTCAATAGAAAAGCAAAGGGAGGCGAGGCATGCTTTGTCAAGCAACTGGAATCCATTAGTTGAGTCTAGTGAAGCCTCGGAAAAAGGGAGTATCCTCGGGAGTCAACAGCAGGAAAACTCAACATGAAGTATAACCCAGTTAAACAGCACATCTATACAGATCTGATTACACATTACACAGGCATCTCCTTACACCTTCAAAAGACGGCACTCCACGTGAGAGGTAGACATAAGGAGTTTTGCACGATTCTCTGGGGCTGTGAACTTTAAGTTATGGCTGTGGTTTACTGTATCGCCAGTAAGAATGTGCATTGAAATTCCAGTTTTCATAAAAATGTCTGAATCAAACTTGTCAAAATAGATTCAGTAGACATAGCCTAGGTCTGCAGCTCGCTGTAATGCTGCAAGACCCTGCACCAGCATATATCATCCGCAAACAGAATTCACACTGCTCATTTAGAAGGAGATGTTATCTAAAGCACCAGTGAGGGTCACTCCAGAAAACCTAGACACTCTCAGTATGCCGCTGGTCTCTTTACATTAGAAGTGACCACATTCTTAGCATGCTGAGCTCACTGTGTTTCCATTACCCCAAATGAGCAGTATATCTGTCCTTCTGAAATATGTTGCGCAATTGCAGAGATGGTATTTGTAAAATAAGCATTAATGTATGAATGAAAATATTACAAATATATGGAATTAGTATAAAACTAAAGTCTAATCAGTGCGGTCTGAAAAGTGATTGCGTGTGCTCTTCTCAGACTTGTGCTGAGGCGTCTGTTTAGATTCCTGGACAGATAGTGCAGCAGCTTTCACTGATAGTAGGCCTCTCATCAGGATTTGACCTTGGAGGGCTCACCTGGCTGACGTGTTTTCAGTCCAGAGGAATGTGAGATAATTCCCGTCGGTTAGACGGGGTCAGAATGTGTGGGTGAGGTGAAGAGTGAGACGAATAGGCCCGTAGGTGTCCAGTGCCAGTTGAGAGGCAAGGCAGGACCTCTGTGCTGAGGTCAGCCAGGTGCAGACCAGCTACTCCCACTGTGTAAGCAGCAGCAAATAGGAACCATGTCAACAGCTTCCACAAATCTCCAAAACAAACCAAACGGGATAATTCTCAAAGATGGCCATCTTTTGTAAGCGGAATCCTGTTAAATGAAAATAAGTCTCGAAAGAGGTCACGCAGGCTCCAATTTCAGTAGATCCAACTAATCTGACCCACTCTAAAGCAGATCACCTATAGAGGCAGGAATGGCAGGAATGTTTGGAGCACACATCATCCCTCTGTCCTCATAAACAGCCACGCTGGATGTCTGACCACACATTACTAACACAGACATACTATATTTCATAGGACAGGGCTTAGCTTTAATACATGATAGTGTTCAGACATCACCCCACAGACACACTGTTATCGACTAATGTTTATGTGTGCAGTAGAACATTCTGCGGCCGCCGTACCCGGTTGTTAGATTTAATGACGGCAATTTTCTGTTCTCATCTATGATACTTAGCCTAATACAAAGGGTGTCCCTGCTGATCTTTTTCCTCATGCTGAGACATAGACACAAATAAAAACAATGGGAAGCAATCCAGGAGACCAATTAGGATAAAAAAATTAACAGTTCTCATCCCGTTTCTCAATTGACCAAAAGTTAGAGCTACATTTTTGTAGCACATTATGGAACATATTTATAATGATTTTATGTTACTGTCTATGAGACATGTTATTTATATCTACATTAATCTATAAAAGCTAATTATTCAGGTGAAATATGTCCAATGATGCACTATTTTGACAGACACTCTGAAAGCAGGGCTTCAGACGGATGTAGTCAATGTGACTTAGTAGGGTCTCATGGTGTGGTGTCAGTTGTCTCAGGGTCCAGGCCCCAGCTCTCTGTCAGCTCACATTCATCCAGCAGGCAAAGTAACTGCTCCTCTGTAAGGTCTGCAGATTCTTCCTGCAGAAAGAAAGAAACATTATGTATGTATGATTTTAAAAGGATAAGTCAAGAATATGTTTGGATGGGCTGATGTACTTGTGTCCACACAGAAACCCAGCATTTCATCTCAGACACATACAGTAGACCTCTGGTAATCCAGACCTCTGGTAGTATCAAGGACACATGTGCGTGTTATTATTAAAGTGATGACAGAATATTTTTCAGCATAACTGCTGCTATTTTCCTAACATCCTCCCTAGATGTGTCCAATTACAAATATCAAACTCAGTTTTGGCAAATCCAGACAACATGTCACATTAATGCATGACCTATGATAACAGTGGCAGTTCATAATAATTGCACTGCTGCATTTGTCCCCTGTGCGTAGTTGGAAGCTGTCCGGGGAAAAAACACTTCCAGTTGGATGTAACTATTGTTTTTCTACTGATAAGTCAGACTCCTTGCAGGCAGCCTTCTGGGACTGCATGAGAGTTCAAGGATGAAAGTCAGCCTTTTTAAACTAGGTTATGAGGATAGGGGAAGGTTTCACAATTTGAATGAATGTCAATGCGAGTGATGTGTTCTCTGGAAACTGCAAGCGTAATTTCTGATTTCATATTATTTGGCTATGTAAACTTTTAATTCCTAATAATAAGGTCAGACATGATTAATTCACCTATCCAAAAGTGCTCATAGACAGTTAATTGCCATATCTTTGTGTGCGAATCCTGTACTTTATTTAGACAGCTGCGACGCAACAGTCAATTTGTTCCAGTAATATCAACTCATTACCTTTCATGATATGAGCCAAAGCGTGTCCAGGAAAGCCACACCGTAAATCTCACCGTTGAATAGTAATCATTGTCTTCATTCACTAAGCATGTGTCCTGGTGTTTCTAGCTGTCATCCCACACCAAACAGAAAGTCCCTGGCTTTAAAGTACGGATCTCCTCATCCAGTAATTCTGTCCCTGATCCAGATGCTTAATACACGATTAAATGATTTTTCCCCACCTGAGGGAAGCGAATCAATCTGTTAACACATAATTATCACCTTATTAAAGTGACATAGCCAAAGTGTTAGCAAACAATTTTCTTTTTACAAATCCAGCAGTCAGGAGGCAAGATGAGCATTCATGCTACGGGACACCTAATGAATCTCCACTAAATCCTGAGGGAAATATCTGGCTATTTACCTGCTAAATGTTCTACTTTGTTCACTGCTAATGGCTAACTTTACATGCCAGTTGTTTGGTGTTGGGTAGTAAGGGTATTGCCTGCTGTGGCTAAGCTAAGCTAACTGGTTTATCCAGCTAGCTATCTTATATCTTGATTTTGTATGAATTTTTATGTATTAAACAAAAAATATATCATGTGTTATCTAGTGAGCCTAGAGGTACTAGTCAAAGTTTTCTAATTCAATTGTATTTAAATTTGGGAATGAGGAAAATTCAGCTTTCACCACAGTGTGACTCATCTCAGGCGTTCTGTTCTGAGACGGAGAGAATATTATGCCCATGCAGTTGTTTTCACCTCTGCCTCATTTCCCGCTGAGTCACTCGAGACAAAATCACATTCCTGTGTCTCATTTACCCTGCTAGCTAAAGCTAATAGTCTTCATCGATCATCTGTATTCCTTCTCTGACCAGACCACCCTCTGAAACTCTCCAGCCCTTCTCCAGATCCCAGTTGCTGATGGACATCTCTACCAGACAATCCTGTCCATGTTCAAAGTCCTCCAGAATGTAATGACACCCCTTAGGTCATGGCGTGTTGGGCCATGTTACTCATTTATGACCCCTGTGGTTATCCAGACGCGGCATATCATCTTCTACCACAGGCCACAGACACCATGGACACATTCCAGCCGCGAATCACGATGCCCCCGTAACACTGGGGCACACTGTTTTTGTACTTTGACATGCATGTAGCAAGACATTGTCCTTTGCCTGTGCACTTCACCTTTACCTAAATGGCAAAGGGGGGCCATATCCTGTATCTTCATGCATGCACATAACCATATGCATACACTAATGACATGCTTAGGCTCTAGGCATTTTGGATACACTTAGCTTCCCTCCCATGGTTATTCTGTTTCAATGTTTTAATAGGTATAGCTAACACCGTGCTCATAGAAAAAAAATGATTTGCTTAGAATAGCAACTGTAACATAAATTTACACAAACATAAGTGAGCCATTACTGCAACTTGAGACATATGGCCCAAAGAATTCACTGGTCAATTACAGGCATGTCAGTGTTTGAGTGCTCATGAATGGGGCAATAAAAAAAAGTGCCCCACTGGCGGGAGTATTAATGGCCAGAAATGCCTTTAACTAGTACCAGCCGTCTTGGAGATGGGAACTACAAGTGAGACTTTCCTACAGAGAGGAGAGAAAAAAGAGATGGAAGAAAGAAAGAGTGCCTTTTACTGCTGTGACAAAATGCTGTGACTCTTTAAAAGTGGTTGACCTCAGGTGCCCTTAATACTAGGAGGGCCAAGGGTGTCTGTGGGTGACTGATGTGTATTTTCCTGTCTGACTGTCTGTCCACTCTATACAGAGAAAGTTAAACTCAAGTGTTAGAGCCACTTCAGCTCATCTCAGTCCACCCGCTGCAGACGCCACATTCATTTCAGTAAACAGCAGAGAGAAGTACCGCAATTACAGGAAAGCTGGCCAAAGAAAATTTGATTGAGATAGTTCTGTCTGAGTACCATAGTTCTGTCTGAGTACCATAGTTCTGTCTGAGTACCATAGTTCTGTCTGAGTACCCCTCTTCCCCTGGGATATCAGTGAGACAGGAACAACTGTGTTGAGCCTGGTTGGAAATGTGTAAACACAGTATTACTATGAGACTGAGTCCACAAGGAAAAGGATGAACAGAGCAGGAGAAAATAAGACTTTTCATCAGAACTAAGCAAACTGCTGTTTTTAAGCTATCATGCATGGCTTTGGTAAAAGTATCCATACACAAGATGTAAATATATACATTTTCATAAAGAAAAAAAAAAGTCAGCCCCTAGTCATAGGAAGTGTGCAGCTGTGTGAGCTGCTACAGTTGGAGGCTGACGTTGGAGTTATTCCCAGCCATACATCCTCTGGCATAAACATGTGAAATACAAGCTGGAGGCAGAGAAGCTATAGATGCAGGTAACCTCCTCCTAATGGGGAAAGGCAGAGACCTTTGACAGCTTTATGGAAAGACAGTACTCCATCACCTAGTCTATGTTATATTGAATAGCAACTTTTTAAACACTACTAAGTAATAACAATGGGAGACTGACATTGGGATAACATGCTTTAAAGGATATCTTCGCTTTGCAAACACTGTTTTCTCTCAAGTTCACTCAAGTTCACAACAATGTATCATTGAGGAAATGGCTTTGACGTGGCCACTCATCAACCCAACACATTATTAGATAATCATCTTTTTCTCCACAAATGTGCACTTCCCTGAATCATAAGAACAGCTTTTGCCTTGGGCAAACCGGCTCCCTTTCATTCTGCAAGAGCTACTTTAAAGAGCTGCATCCTTCATTTATGTTTCATCGCTAAAGTCAGTGAGTCTTGGAAAAGACAAAGTAAAAGTCAAATCAATAACACCCTGTGTATGTATATGTCTGGTGGTGATTGTCAGACTGCTGGCATTAATGCTCCAGACATCTCATACTGCTCCCTGTTGTCTAGCTCTCCCACCTACTATCCAGACCCAGCAGGCTTACTGCATCTGTCTCAGTCTGGCCTGTAGCCACACACAGCCCATGTGCAGAGAAAGTAAGTGCAAGGGAAAACCTGTGTCACTGTTCTGTTTAGCAACTCTTTACGGTGTATTCACTACTAGTCTTTGCACTATCATTTTGTCACTGCCTTTACTCCTTGTCCTTGTGCATTTGAATAGCACCAAAATGACGATGAGTTCAATGTGTTATTTGCCCTCTGGACACAGGAGTCCAGTTCCTCTCCCAACAAACAACGGCTGGGTGGGCGAAGCCCTGACCTTTGGTGAAAGATGAAGGTTCTCTGTCACTGTCCAGTATCAGTTTCCAAGCAGGAGTTGAATCTGACAAAGCCGGAGCTGTTCAGCCCTGCAGCTATCTGCCCCCCAGTGGACCACCACTTATGTACAGCTCGGTGTTGGCTCCTGTACACAGAGGTTGCAGGGCTGTTTTACCACAAGCGTGGGCTGCTCAGCTTTCAAGGTCGCTGACTTCAGTCACATACCTCAGCTTTATCGGCCACAGACCCAGGGGCAAGTTCTCCACTAATAGGGAGGAATTCTATTCATTACACCCTATGTGCTCCCATTAAGAGGCTTGTCTCATGAGACTAACTCATGAGACAAGCCAGCAATACTTCCTGCTATAGTATACCTGTGGCATCATTGTCAAATGTTAGATAATGAAGATAACATAGATATTAAACCTCATTAAAGTCAGTCTGTTGTAGTGATTGCTGGCTGAATCCCAGTATTCGCATTTTACCCCATTATTTTACACATTTTACCCTGCATATGTACTGTGGCTCCTCTTTTCTGACAAACCAAAAGAGTTGTGAAACTGCTGAGTTGCCAATTCATTCAAGGGCTCAATAACACCTGTAAAGATTAAGGCCAACTTTGATCTGCCATGGGTGGGAACCCTCTTTGCATCAAAAGGATTATAGGTGTGTGTGTGTTCACCTAATACCCTGCACTGCTATCAACATCCTTCGTTTGACTCTGTTTACAAGTTTCATTTTTATATGTATGTATGTACGTATGAATGTTTCTTATGATGCTATAACTACTTTTTGTAGTTTTAGTATAACTATAACTCAGCTAATCACACACACCCGAGTTTTCACATGAGATATTTGGAACTATTTTATAATCCAGCCCCAATGCTAAAAAATGCAATGATTGAATATAAAAAAGTGTGGATATAAAGTGATGTGATCTCCTGAAATCCAGAACATCAAGTAAAAATTCAATGTGCCAACTGTGAACTTGTATGATATACAAACATAAAAGCATAGCCCTTTGATTAGTACTTAGGTTAAATTGCACTAGGGAATCCTAATATAAGAGATATATGCTGATGTAATAGAGAAAGTATGATTGATGATGTTGGCCTGATTAGAGATCCATCCTGTTTTACCGTAAATGTTGGGACTGTCCTTCCTTTTGCAGTTGATCTAGGAATGCAGCCAATTGAAGTTGCAGGAAAACTAGCACCAGATTAGCTGCAGAGTATCACAGATTTAGCAATGACACAATGAACAATAAACAGTCAAACTAACAATACCTTTCTTTGGAAAGGCGAGGATAGTCCTTTACTGCACATGCAAATATCTATAATGGCAAAAAAAAAGAAAAATCAAAGTTGAAAGAGTAGATTCTTTGGCAAAGAGGTGAATTTCACTGGAATGGGGCTTGTTTGGATTGAGAGAAAGAAGCAGGGATGACGCACAAAATGACTGGTGTCAGATCTGAATCCAGCTTAACACGGCTTTTGTTTGAATAAATCAGTTCAAAAGGTAAATCAGGTAATTCTCTAGACAAACACTTGAATTCTTAACATCACACACAGGAATCAATCAAACTGAAGTAGTGCAGGGAATCTGTAGTCACTCCTACAATGTATGAGGCATTTTCCACCTTTACAATAGGTGCTTCACTCCAGCAGCAGCAGGCCAGACTAAACACAAAGCAGCATGCTTTCCATTTGGAGGGAAAACATTTAATACCAAATCCATCGCGGGAGTCTGTAGATGTACTGTACTTCAATAAAACATTTTTATTTCAAACATATCCCTAAAACAAATTCCCAGTCAACCTCTTACGCAGCCTCCTTCTCTGGAATTCAGGATTCATTTCAAGTTTTGTCATCATTAACTATAAGTAGACAGATTAACACAAGGAAACAAACTGCATCATCGGGGCCACAGTGTCACAACTCTCATACATGTTTTAGGAATTATTTTGAAAAGGGCAGATTTTCTAAATAATTCTCCTATAAGGCAGAACTCCCTGCCTGAGGAACTTATGTTAGCAAACAAAGTCTCCTCTTTTAAATCTTAAATAACTCCTCAAAATGTACTTCTACAGGATGGCTTTTCTTCAGTTAATCTATTGCTTATCTATTTTTGCCTGTTTTTATTATACACTCTGTTTCATGAGGTCCTATGTTTTATGTTATTATTCACGTCTCTGTTGTTTTTATCTGGCCCCATGTTCTTACTTGTGTTTTTCTTCTTTTTTTTATCATGACTGTGTATTGTATCTTGTTCTAAAGCACTTTGCAACAATGTTTTGAAAAGCTGCACAAATGGAGGAGTATCATTTCAAATTGGGCAATACCATTCTTATATATCAGGAATTTAATGGCCTTTCTAGCTCATAAAACTTTTTTTTCTTTCTTGTCCTCATTCGAGTATTTTATCTTTATCTTTTGTTTATTTTTTGTCTGTGGTGGTCATTGTATCTATTACACTATATTACAATATATTATTAAATAAAGTTGTTATTAATGCTAAAAGAGGAAACTTTTGGCACTAAAAATAAAGAAGAGAAGAATTGAAAATGCTACCAATACTAGTACTTAAAGGAACTGTGTGACATTTTGGAAAATTTGCTTATTTGTTTTCTTGCTTATAGTTAGATGAGAAGATTGATACTACAAGCAATAAGCTAACTATCTCTTGATTCGCACATCATATTCAATGCACAGATATGAGAATGTTAATGATCTTCTCATCTAACTCTTGAAAGAATAACAATACACCTTCAAAAAATGATGGACTAATATTTTCATAAAACCAGTATTGGTAGCATTTTCTGTTCACAAACGGATCCCTTCTTAGTTATCATGCTCCTAATCTACCAGAGAACTCCACACAAACCCTGTGCGGTTGGTAAAAACACTTCAGGTGCAAAAATACTGTGAGAAGACACTTGAGTTACGGATGTTATACAAATCAACTTTACGAGTATACCGGAGCTGTGTGAAACTGTTCAACAGTGCCCTCCCACACAAATTCTGTACAAATAAATCTCCTCTAACTACAAAACAAGCCCAGTAGCACTCAGTCTGTATAGCTGTTTACATTGCAGTCACTGGCTGGGTTCAATTATTCAGTGACAGTATATAAAATGCAGTGACACACAGCTAAAGAGCGTCTAGCTACACCAGCAGTTAAGAGACTGGTGGTTTTGATGTTATGTGATCATAATGAAAGAACAGTTTCCTCAAACGAACCTTGGCTTAATAAGCAAAAAATTCCATTTGTTTCTCCTTAATTAGGCCAGGAATAGGTTAGGGTTGCATGGCATGGTGCCTTGCTTGATGTAAGGGAGTGGCCGCCACGTAGTGCTTTTATTACCTTACTGTTTGTGAGTCGAAAGGGCATCTTTTATCTTTAAATTAGGCATGTATACATCACATTGTGGTTCATCAGTGTTAGAAATGATATGCTGGATAATACATTCGAATTTGTCTTCCATCAACAGCAGCACTGTGATGAAACAAACATGTAGTTTATTGCGCAAGGCCGAGAGAAGCCACCCATTTGAACAATGGCGAAGTCAAACCAATACATTTATGTGTAATGTTTTTCTTTCTGTGCACACAAAATTTAGAGTCATAAATGTCAGAGGAAGCAGAAATCAGGACTATTCACCTTTGTTCTTGCAACATTCTTGTGTTGTGTCTTTAGCTACAGGGTTTTGGGAGAGAGAGCGACAGTTCTGTGGCTGTAATTCTACAGTGGCTCCTAAAAGCAGACAGAGCTCAATGGTTTCCAGGGAACACCATGGAGTGTGGACATTAAAAGTAATGAAACACCATAGAGGACAAAAAAGCTATCAGTGGAGTAAACAACCATCAGTGGAGTAAACGACCATCCTTGTCCTCAGATCAAGGTTGTATACAAATAAATAAAAGCAAGAAATATAACTAAAAAAAACACTCAAAAAAAGTCAAAATAACAACCTACATTTTTCATGCAGCTGTGAACTAATACTAAACTGTGAAGTGAGTGTGTTAGTGATACAAAGAGAGAGAAAGAAAATGGGGAAAAAAGAGGAAAAAATATGGGCCTGCAGAGACACAAATATTGCATGTGATTTCATTGTCCCCCTGTGTGAATGACTGTGAATGAGCTGTGTGCTTGTAATGATTTGTCATACACGTGTCTACAGATACAAGCTCTGAGGACTGTAATAACGCAACATAAAGTACTCGTGTGAATTTGAGCATATGTTTTGTTGTGTGTGTGTGCGTGTGTGTGTATGAACATAGCTGCTTTGAACTCACAGTCATCTCCTGGCTGTGGCCCAGGATCTCCAGCTGCTGTTGGATCTCTTGGAGCCGCCTCTCCTGCCCTCTCCTCTCCTTTATATCCTGCAGGACCTTCTCTTCTGGCTGCGGGTCCCCAGCGCACTTCCAACCAACCTCTGAGCCACGGCCCTGATATACAACAGACACGAGTGGTTCTCACAGGGAGCAAACAACACATTTCACACGTCGACGTGCTTGGGCGCTCTCGCAGAGCTGCGCTCACAGCTTATGGCTGTCTGTGGGAAACATTTAAATAAGAATCAAAACCATACACAGTTCATCACAGTTAATTTGTGCGAAAATTGTACATCCCACCAACACTCTGGAGTTGTAGTGTGTTTATCTCTATCAAAATGTCATCATTGTGGTATGTCCTAAAGATGCATGCAGCCACAGTTCTTTCCTGCATTTTACAGATTGTAGAGTATAATCAAGTAATCATTATAAAGCCTGAGAAAGTCTAATACTTCAGCTACAGTCTACATGGGGTCCAACATAAATCACATTTATGGCATCCACGTGCACTGGGTTGACACAATGCATCACAAGCTGCATCCAAAGAAAACTTTGAAAATGGGTCAGGAGGAAATAGGAGAGTCATGCCTAGAGAGCCATCAATGGACAGCTGATAAGTGAGGAGCTTGTCTTTCTGACCACAGGCCGGATCTTTTTCACTGGGCCTCGGTCACAGAGAGAGAACAATTCAAAGTGAAGTCATCAGAACCAAATGACTCATGTTAAGATGTTGGGTTTATATCATATATTCAAACAGGCAATAGGGCCGTCACATACTGTATTTTGCTGATACTGAGTCTCTACACCACAATGAGGAAATAGCTTCTGTAGATGCAGCATGATGAGCAGTAGGTGCTGAAAAGGGAGCATAACTGTGGTAAATCCCAGAGATTAGATCTGGTAAAACTGGTGAAATCCCTTCCCAAACCACCCACCATTTATATCTTTAGGATGGATGGAAAATTCATGACAAAACGAACAATACTGTAGACACAGACCAGTGAATGACCTGTGGTGGGGTCATATTTTGACCTCTAAAAATGCACTGCTACTCTATAAAAGCAGCAGCTAGGTCAAAAAATTGTTGGGTCTGAGAGGATGTTGCCAACCGCAGGACGGTTTTGGAGTGTCAGTCCAGCGCCATGTGGTTGAAATCTCCATCTCTCTTGGTTAGTCTGGATGCCAGGCAGGCGTATGTATGATCTAATAATGTTGAAATTGATGGATACTTCATAAAATGTCGACATCTCAGTAGGGACTTGCATACAGCGAAATGGTAGGTTACAGGAGACAGCGGGAACCGGCAGAAATTATGAACCTAAACACTGAATTGCTAAATCTGTTATGACACATTTATGATTAAGGATGTAATCTTAGTTAAACCCAGGGTAGGAGGGAAGTTCAGCCAGTATGTCGAGAAGAAGAATGAACGCTACTGGCCTTGTCCTGTTAATAACCAAAACAGACATGTCTACTTGGGTACTGTGACACATTACATGTACACAAATTTTAGGCAACTGGATGATACCAGTGTGATTTTAATATTTAAATCTTGGCAAAAACAAGAACTTGCTATGAAGTGTGTGTGGCCTCACCTAGCAGTGCCCTCTGTCTCCCTATAGGGAAATAATGACAGCTTCTATCTGAAGCCTCTTTTAAGTGGTCGTTACTAGAGCCCTTCTGTTAAGACTCCCTCATCCAGACTACAAAAGCCAGGACCACGACAGGATCAGACTCCTGTCATGCACCAGAGTGAGAAACACAGCATTCCAACCAGAAAAAATAAAAATTAAAGTCTAGCTTTACCACCATCCTCACACCACTAAATGCATGTTTCTAAAAAAGCCCAAATCTTTGGGAGAAACAGTTTATTTAATTTGGAAACGACAGCTGCCCTACTTTGGAAGAACTATAGACTCCAAACTTTAAAATTGTCTGCAAGGTTTAATCATGATAAAGCTATCACTGACCTAAGTTTGAATGAATTTGGCATGTATGTCACATATTTACTTCCATTTTGTAAGATGGATTACACAGAAAGTACTGAACCAATTTACACCACACTAGGTGGAGGGATAGGGCATGAGCCAGGGAAGACCCCATTAAATTTAGATGTCGATCCAGTTAAAGGGGTAGATCCAGGAATTTTTTTTAAATTACTTTCCTTGACATTGAATTTGGTGCAGATCCAGACAATAATCTGGATCTCACAGACATGTGTAGGACAGTTTGGTCTTGGCGGAGGTACATGCTCTACTGAGTGCCATTCTAGATTCTTACTAAACTAATGCTCTCTGGCCAAATTAAATTCTGATGAGTGTAAGGGGAAAGTCCACAGTCCCTTTGTATAAATCTTACTAATCTGACCCCAATTACAACAATAAACGAGACAATATCGCCCTCGTTATCTCTGCATTGGTCCTGAATTGTCTTCTTTCACAGTAGCAACATCTTAGTTACAATAACAGAAAATCAAGCTAATCTGAGAGGTTTCAATAGCTTGTTGCAAACGCTATGACAATTAGCAGGTCACATGTCAGTCTCATACAAAATCCCAAAGTTCATTTCTGTGTCTCTCACTGAAACTAGCAACAAAACGTAATGCTAGCACAGACAGTTTACGCATATGTGCTGATATTTGCTAATCAGCACTAAACAGAAAGGGCAGCTGAGGTTGATGGGAATACAGTTAGCTCTGCAGGTATTTGGTCATAAACCAAATTATATTTGGACTTGATGGCGCTAGAGAAAGGGATCACGAAAGTCAGTACGCTTCACTGTCTAGTGCCAGTCTATGCTGTAGATGTGAAGATATTTTAGTCTCTGTCTGTGCAACATTTCATGCCAAGCCATCTAATAGTTGTTGAGACATTTCAATCTGTAACAAAGTGGTGGACTAACTAACCACAAGAACACTTCCCATCTCTACTGAGCCACAGCGCTTTGCATAGTTAAAAAAGAAACAAACTGTAATATGGCCGTGTCACGAGAGATTCATCAGATCTAATGCTTGAAATGAAATACAAAGTTAAAAAAAAAATTATTTTGTTGTAAACTTTAAAATATGTGAATATAGTTGCTTTGACAAGTGACAATTGAAAACTGTATGAGATCAGAAGTGTTAAATAGGGTTGACATAGGGGTTATTTTCAGTTTCATAAAAGGCCAATAACCACAGTACTTTGTTCACAGTAACTGTAAATGTATAATTGATTAAGCAATAATAATAAATCAGTGCAACAACTTTAGATCCATTTCCAAGGCACTGGCAAGGCAAAACCATATATTAGTCTTTGCTCATGTGCCAGTCAAATTGTAGTAATGATTCACTTCTTGGAGAGGACTGAGAGAATAATGTTTCTTGAACTCTACAGACTCCAGTGATTGTTCCAATACATTATGGCATGTGTGCTTCTTCTCCTGGAATGTGTGATAGCTTTCACTCAATAGGAGGTCAGACTGAGTGACTTCCAAACAGAGGACTGGGGTTCTGCTTATTTGAACATCAGCCAAATGCTGGTAATTGGCTCTCCTCAGAGTAGCCACTTGACATACTGTTGAAGAGCTCCAATAATCACATCACCTATCTGGGTCACACTACTGCCTGAGAGGCCGTGAAGATCTGGACTTTGTTTTTTTTTAAGTAGGACAAACATGTTAAATATGATTCACTCTTAAAAGAAAAGTAGCTCAGCCTGTTGAGGAAATATCAAATCACTGCCCCTTGATTTGATGTCAAAGCAGTGTCATGAGTAGATCTGAAGTACAGCATTGTACTTATTACTCTGACTGCCAAGTGCACCTTGAACTCATAATAAATGTTATTAAAACAGAGAAAAGGTCTTTCATGCATGATATGACGACTCCAGAGAAGCTGTCCTTGTTTTACCTCATGGTTCAGATTTTGCTTTCCCTCAGTATGAAGAAAGAAAAACAGAATGACTTGCCAATTGCCATGAGCAAAACAATTGTTAGTATATTATTTGTATGACCTCCAGATATCTTACATCAAGCATGCCTTTCACATTTATTAAGTAGTTATTGATATCCTGTGATCAATTTTATGATTTCAAATAGAAGCAATACATTCCATTCAGAGGTTGTCATGGCATTTCATTGTGAAACAGCTGCAGCAGTTGATGGATGATCTGCTGTTGTCCAAAGTGACGAAATAGGAATAATAGTGGAGATTATTTCATGCCAAACATTTCACTTCAAACTAATTCAAAACAAATCTTGGATGCCTCACACTCAGCAATATTGAGTGTGCTATAGCTTGATGTTCCCATTAAAGGAACATATAATCATATCACACCAATCATATTAGACAATGGAGAGAGCCATAGCCTGGAGCTTCTTCTCTGCTCCACTGTGGTTTGCATGTGTGGTGCGCTTTACAAAATATAACAGCTGGATCCTCTCATGCAGACCCATTCTCAGATGTACTTCATAAACAGCAAGAAAACAAGACAAATTATGAGGTCACCATTGCATGTAAGTATCTCTTGCATCCTGCAGCAAAATGTGTTTTATAAACATGGGTGTACCAGGCCACCGGTTGCTTCCAGTTCACTCTTACATTAGGTGTTTAGGAGGAATGTTCAAAGGCAGACCAAGAACCACTGAAACAGCTTGATGGCCTTGTTCACACACTCAAGACAAGCAAAACAAGGCCAGTGTGTTCAGAGGCAGCTAATCCAAACAAGTGTCAACAGTAAATTCATAAAAGCTACTGCACACTCCAAACAAATTAATTCATACAACATGCGGCCTTTTCAACAAAGTTCTTGACACCTTTTTCGAACTATCTAAAATCAAAAGTAGGTGGAGAAGCCCCATGCCGTAGGAAGGAAAACAAAGACTTCTGGGTCATTTCTGCAAACATGATGCAAAGGATTCCACTAAACAAACAAAGGAAAATATAATGACTTAATGGGTTCTTGAAAAACACTTATGTGATGTGGATGCTAGCCAACATTTCAAACAGCAGTTTGTTTTAGTATGCAGTAGCCACAAAAGTGCTCATGGGCCTAGACTCTGGGGGCCTTTGCGAAATGAACAATGTCTGTTGGTCACATTAAGTCACTCAGTCATTAAAAAACAGGCTACGCAAA